ATATCACACCTTACAAAGATTTCAGCCTAGAGTTTCCCTTCTCTTTGACAGTCCCTTAAATAATGTTCCCCTGTAGATTTTCCCTAAATATTCTTATTTAAGTGATATAATAGTAAAATAGCAATCATGACTTGCATTTAATGCATGGGAACAGTTGAAAAACTGTCACATACTGTAATGTATCTTTAAAATAAGTAACCTCTTTGCTTTTTTAAACACAGGCCACAGAGACATTATTTCGAATGGGGGTAGCAAGAGGAGCCATTACACCTTTAAGGCATGGAGAAGTAAGACTGAATATCTCTCTCTCTTTCGATCTCTCTCTCTCTCTCTCTCTCTCTCTCTCTCTCTCTCTCTAATATAATACAATAAGTTTTATTCATGATATTTTGATGATTTTGGGTGTTTATAAATTGTATTCAAGTAACTGAAGTGTGGCTGGCCTTGCAGTTGAAGCATTTAACTGCTTTACAGTTTACCTACCCACTGAAGAGTAGAGCCTAGATCCTGTGCAGTGGAGAGGGGCATGGTGTTAGTAGTTTTTTGCATTTCTCTTTTCACTGAATCAGCATGTGGCACCATAATCTAGATCATTCATCTGAGGATCCTCCTACATCAAACAATTCTCTACTAAACATCCTGTACAGGGGCAGCATGGTTGAGGGAACTAGCATGAGATCAGGCTCTGAGGTTGGGTGGCTGCAGGCAAGTCACTTCACCTGTTTTAGTTTATCTTTAAAAATTGCCTCCTTCAAGGATTATTGCAAGGGTTAATTAGTTAACATTCGCTCCTCGTTACAATCCTTAGGTTGTTCATATTTGCTAGTATCTGCGTCGGGTGTTTTTTTTTCTCTGTCCTTTGGGCTGCTCTACGTGTAATTACTGTTGTTAGAATTCTGCTGTTGAAGTAACTCTAGTATCCAGGAAGCGATTCACATTGAGGTTGAAGTCCATGAAGAACCTGACACTTGATTATTGCATTCTGCGGTAATGGCCCAAACTATGCAGCAACTCTGCATTATTTTGGATCAGTACTGTTGAAAACAATATCATGTGCTGTTGTGTCTGCCTGGTGTTGATTATATTCAGGGTTAATTCTGAGTGCAAATTCGTTGCCTAGTACATATGCCCTTAGGTTTAGTCTATACTACTAGTTCCTTGTGGAGCCGAGGACCATCAGTTTCTGCTCAGTGGAATAATTCTTCTGCTTCTGCCTGGCAGCAATATACCACGTGTACACATTACCAGATCTTCATTTGGCTGCTGAGGTCCATTCAGCAGCTGGTGCCTTTCCAAAGCATATTTCACATTCTGGCCTGGCTGCTCCGTGTAGCTATGTGGTGCTGCTAGAAGCACACAAGTGTGAGGATGTCCTGATGGCTTGGTGATGGTCTGTCAGTTCTGGTAGCAGAGGCAGGTGAGTGTCAATATAGACTTTATAATTCCAATTGTATGATAGAACATATTCTCTTACTGTGCGGATCAGTTTTGATTTAATATTGCCATTGAAGTGGAGTAATAACTCTTCCTCAAAACGAAGTTTTTCTGTCTTGCATAATGGCTAAGGGAGGAGTATTAGATATCACCTTTCTATAGCATTTCCTTGATCATAGGTTTAACTATGTGTCTTTTATGCTTTTTGAAGCACTGGTTTCTGCAATTGGTCAGTAAAAGGGTGTAAAATATGATGGATCTTCCTGCAAGATGCCAACTATGGAATATATGCAAGACTTCCAGCTTTTCTTTGCATTTTGAGAGAGATGCTGTATGGCTGTTTCTTATGATAGCAGAACATGCTTCATTCAAGATTTTGTAATTTTTTTGTATTAGACTAAATGTTCTATTGCTTCTAATAAAGTTGAAGTGCACTTTGTTTGTAGCAAGCCAAGTGGATTGTGGAGAAATCAGGTTCATTTTTAATGAATACTAACTAGATCCTGCAGTTAAAACAAACAACCCCCCCCCCCCCC